TCATAACATTTCAGATCACTTTACTCCCAATGTTGTCACAAGACTTATGTTTTATTTCTCTACTGAGCCTTGTGGTCTAATATTTATGTCCTGTGGTCTCCCTTTACACACTCTGCAAACTCATAGGTGCAGTTCAGATGACTTGGATGGCGAAGTTCTGAAAATGTTTAAATGAAATGGCACAGAGCACACACAATCTGTCAGGCTGATATTCTAGGCATGGTCCAGGACTCTTGGAGCGTATTGGGGAAATGGGGTCCTTAGTGGCGTCTGAAACAAAATAAATTTGGGTTTTATAGAAGGTTTTGCCTTTCACACTTCCAGGCAGTGCATTCCAAACCCTTTCTACTTACTGTGAGAAGATGGTTTCTCTCACCTCATATTTGCTTCTCTTTAAATCTGTATCTTCTGGTTCTCAATCTCTTTTCTGAGCTGGAATAGTTACTCCTTATCTACTCTGTCTAGCCCCATTGTGATTTTGAAAATTGTTCAAATCTCCTCCTTGCCTTCTCCTCTCCATGAAAAGTAATCCCAACTTCTCACATCTTTCTTCATCCCCGGAACCGTTCTTGTAAACTTCTTCTGCACTCTCTCCAATCCAGTCACATCCTTTTTATTGTGTGGCACCTAGAATTGTACTCAGTGCTCCAGCAGAAGTCTAAACTGTGTCCTGTATTAGTTCATCTCAATCTCTGTGACGTTGTACACTGTGTCCCTCAAGTAGTGAATGTTTTATAAACAGCACTCTCTACCTGTCCTGCCACCTTTAATGACTTAAATGCATTTTTTGCATTTCATTCACACGATGAGGGCACCGCTGGCTAGGTCAGCATTTATCGCCCATTGCTAATTGCCCGTTAGGGGCAGTTAAGAGTTACCCACATTACTGTGGGACTGGAGTCACATGTAGGCCAGACCAGGTAAGGATGGCAGTTCCCTCCCTAAAGGGCATTAGTGAAGCAGATGGGTTTTTCCAACAATTGACAATGGTTTCATGGTCATCATTTGACTCCTAATTCCAGATTTTTGAATTTGAATTCCACCATCTGCCTTGGTGGGTTTGAACCCAGGTCTTCAAAACATTATCTAGGTCTCTGGATGAACAGTCCAGTGATATTACTACTTAGCCATCGCCTCCCCTGATGTGATGATACAACCAGGTCTCTCTGCTCCTACGCAACCTTTAGAATAGTACCCTTTCTTTTATACTGTTTCTCCATGTTCCTTGTACCAAGGTGTATCACCTGAATCTTCATGCTAACAACAGCTACACCAAATGGATTGCAATGGTTCAAAAGGGCTGCTCACTATAACCTTCTAAAGGGCCATGAAAGATATGTAGCAAATACTGGTCTTATTAGTGGTACACACATCCCGTGAACAAGTATTTTATTTTAAAATCAGCTTTTTGTGGTGAGCTAAGTTTGTATCAATTGTGAAAAAACAACTATACCATTTATCTGCATGATGGAGACCAAATGAAGATTGGGTGGCCATTTTGCATAACGCCTCTTTTCAATCTGGAGACATAACGCTGAGCTTCCTGTAGCTTGTCATTTCAATTTTTGACTTGCCCCCATCTGACCATTATGTCCTTGGCCCGCTAGAGCATTTCAACGAAGCTCAACAGACCTCACAGAACAGCATCTCCTCTTTCTAATTGACAATCTGCAGCCTACTGGATTTTAAACTTTGAGTTCAACCATTTTAGATCCCCATTTTTGCCTACATTTTGTGGAGCTTTTTTTTCCTGGTTCTGTTTTCTTCTAGTTTCTTCCTTTACTTTTTATTTGGACAGCTGCAATTGAGTCATTCACCCCTCTGTTAGAAGCAACTTCACTTGGCCAGAACCCATTCCTATTTTTCCTTAATTCTAATGAAGTGTTATTGATCTGAAACGTTAACTGTTTCTCTCCTCACAGATGCTGCCTGACCAGCTGAATATTTCTAGCATTTTCTGCTTTTATCTTATAACATAATGCCAGTCAATGTATCTCAGTAGTCCGGCAGGCTGCAAAATGCCATTTCATTAAGCTAACAGCACAGTAGCACAAATTCAATAGCAACATTTGGATATCTATATTCAATCATGCATCTGCCACTTAGCTGAACTTGCTGTACTGTTTATACATCATTAATGGTGAGCACCATTAGCCTCACATAATTTTGACGCCAAATTTTGGCCCATTCCATCCCTTCTGCGAGTAGATTACCCTGACCATCACTATTCTTTTTTCAGTTCAGTGTAATTACTTGGTTGAATGCAATAATTTGAGAGCAGGGTGCTTCCTATCTTTGAGAGAGTGGAAAGCTGAGCTAGCTATATTGTACTACAATTAGATAATTATCATTAGCCCTACAACACACATACGCATTCGGCTTTTGGTTTGTGAATAAATTGTTGTCTTGGTATAAATACAGGAGAAATGCTGTAAGTAAAACAGCATTTATAATGTGAATCCTTATGTGATATTAACTGCTTTTTACATTCACTGTCTAATTCGTTACAAGTTAATAGGAATACAGTAGCAGTGAAGTTGAACTAATAAGCAATGAATGTTCATATCTGCTCCCATGAATAGTTCATTAGAACTTAGATTTCAGAATCATAGGTTGGAATTCAATCAGCTTTGTGAAGGCAGCTTTGGAGATGTGGTTGCGATTTTAAAATGTATGCATTGAGTATTCTATTCTCACATACTCCCAACTCCGAACAGTCTCATTATGTTGAATCTTCAGCTGCTGGCCATTCTTGTGGAGATGTCACCTTCCATAATGGTAGATGGCCTGGCAGCTGTGGTCATTATTTAGTTAAAGTTTATTTGATGGGTTCAGAAAGGGACTGTATCTTGAGATCCACTATTGGTGCAATCTACTGTCTGGCAGGCTCTCAGCTACCTGGAATTTGGGCACTTACATTGGCCTTCCTGCCTACACATTTCACCTATATAATTTTAAATTAAATGTGCCTCTCAGGGACAGCCTGTTAATTACTTGCCTTCAAGAGCATTGTGTAGGCAGGCAGACCAGATAAACTGTATGAACTATCCATTAAATTGCACTTGTCCTTTAATTGAATAATCTAGTAAATGTATGTTCTCTTTACAGTTAAGTGCACTTTCTCCATACCCACTACATACCCTCAGATCTTCCACGCTGGCTCCATATTCAATATGCCCCTTCATTGCTTCCATGCATATCTGCTTACTTAGTATCACTATGAACAGAACTCACAAGCCAGAAAGTGGCATTGGGAAGCCTTTGAAGTGCTTATACAGTAAATAAATGGACAATTGTCTATTTAAACTCCACTGAAAATATTGCTCATCTTAGAACGTCATAAAGCTGTCATTAAAACACAACCATTTAATGTCGGTATTAAAGAACTCACTCCCTTTAAGTGCTCATAGATTTGTCAAAACAAATAAATAATTAAAAAACTCTTAAAAATATATTAATCTCTTATCTGATCATAGCATTGTCAAACAAACAAAGCTCACAGTCCAATTCACAATTATGTAATCAACTTCTGCTGAGCTATATCCATTTGTGGTAATTGGAGCTCAGCCAAGTATTCATGACACGTTCTACATTGCACAACTATAGTAGGTCCTCCAAAACTCAATATAATGTAGCATTTAAACTTGTTTGAGCTACCTGTTCATTTCTTCTAAAAAATCAACAGATAAGCTTTTGACAAAATAAGTTAGGCATCAGTTTCTTTTATTTTTCCAATGCTTAACAGATGTCTGGACTGTAAATCAATGTGAAAATCCAAGGAAAAGATCCAGACACATGGATATCTGATCATTGATACACATTGAATGCAGAAAAGCACATTGTCTGATTGAGAAAGTACTGAAAGAAAGTAATGCACCTGGACACTTTTATACTGCTCAATTTACTGGTCACTTATCTTTTAGGGACAATGTGTTCAAACCTACTTAACATCATATAATATCTAATTATGACATTAAATGTTGTCAAGAACTTTTGAACTCTCTCTAAAATGTTTCCAACTCCAAAGTTTTCCCCACAAACAGACTAATCTAACATGTTTTACACAGGCTTCTGGAATCTGCCTGCCTCAAGTAGGAAAATGAGGCAGGTATTTAAAAAGGCTAAACATGATATTACCAACGTACAGAGACAACAAGGTGTAGAGCGGGATGAACACAGCAGGCCAAGCAGCATCAGAGGAGCAGGAAAGCTGACATTTCGGGTCTAGACCCTTCATTACCTGAGTACACATTCGTTCTCAACTTGCCAGTTTTTCCATGCTGATCAAAATGGTGGCCAGCAGAAATTGACTGGGAAGTGTAAATTTATGGTTCTGTTCATCCATTTTCTGCTGTCCAACATCAGTTTCTCATGCTGAGCTGGCAAAATCTGACAAAGATATTTGAGTTAAATAATCTCAATTATATTGTATCACAACCTTTTTATATCTGGAGATTTAGCATCTTTCAAAGCATGTTGATTCTTTTATTCCTTTACGTCAGCTCTTTAATGCTACTGCTGGTTTTGACTTTCAGGCTCAAGAAATTTGCAGCTGGATTACTCCTTGGTCATTGAAGAGCTGAACTTTATTTCATGGAACTTTGTTGATGAAAAATAATAAAATTAATAAAATAATGCTTATATGAAACACTGAAGTAAAATTCATGATAGTTTCCTGCAGAGTTTTTCAATGAACTTTAATTTATTTGAACTCATTCACATAGTATACACCAATTAAAGCTGAATTAAAACTACTTCACCTCGTTCTATCTCAAAAACAATGTGGTAAATTAGCTTTTATAGTTACAACCTGGATTTGGAAATGAAGATTAGCATGCGTACAACAATGTGCTGCATCAAACATGACTGTAGGCCTTATTTTAAAAACTGAAGTCAGGCAACATCTCATTTACAGGAGATATTGTATTGACATCACAATTTTATATCACTTTTACTCCGATGTCTGCATTAAATATGTTCTAACACAATCTACTTTTCAGAGCATCTGTTTTACTACAATGTCTAATTCTTGTCATGATCCTAACTACACTACCTTCGGTACCATGGATAAAGAAATTGAGCTAAAGAATCTCAGTGTTCAGATTGCCTTGGAATGGATTAATGGGCCACTGAATTCCCTACTAAAAGGGCTTTTGCCAGCCAATCAGACACAAGTGGACAAATTTCTGAGGTACAGGTTTAGTTCTTCTAAATGAATTGTTCTTTTAAACTTCTGTAATGAAATTTCTTGCATATAGCCTGTACGTTATGTTTTGTGTGTGAAGACTGCTGTACCACAAGCATGGAGGCTACAATCAGCTGTCGTTCAACTACAGTGGGTTGGTGATATCGTTCAGATGTCAGATACCAGGCTCCCAAAGCAGGCCCTCTTCTCACAGTTCAGTAAGGGCAGATGGAATAGAGGAAGTTACAATAAATGCTTCAAAGATGTGCTGGAAGCCAACACGAAAAATGCAATAAACATAAAGAGTTGTGGATGTTGAAAATCTGAAACAAAAGTCAAGTGCTGGTGAAACGCAGCAGATCTGACAACATTCGTGAAGAGCAACAGATTTAACGTTTCAAGTCCATTGACCCTTCATTAGAATATGATCTAAAAAATGCAATATTGACATTACCTCCTGGGAGACCATCGACCTGGACCAAACTAGATGGAGGCTGAGTCTATGGGAAGAAATACAGTATTTTGAGGCCTAATGACGATAAAATGAAGAACAGAAGCAGGAGTGATGAAAAGGCAAACCATGACATGAACTAATTGTACATAAACAGACATCACACTTGACAACAAATATCCTACGTATTATAAAGTTTGTAGCCACTGAATCAGCCTCATTAGCCATCTTAGGACACTCGGCCTGGCTATGAGACATAGTTTCCTGCAATGATACAGAGGGAGGGATTGTGTATTATGGAAATGAGTATGAATGTGAGAGGCATTAGTGATGACATAGGTTCAGGAGATATGGTAAGGTTACCCCAGTGAATGCATTGGATGTGCAGAGGACAGGAATGGTAAGTAGTTCAGGAGGTTGATATGCAGGAGAGCCATTGAGTGGACATGCTGCATGTATGCGTGAGACTGTAGCCCATGAAACGTGGTAAAGGGTGTGTGAAATGGCCCACCATGAATCCCACTGACAGAAAAAGCTGCCAAAAGATTTGAAAATTCAGTCCACTAGATCCTCAGAAGTCTTGACAGGGTGAATGTGGAAAGGAGTCATAGGAGAATTTAAAACTGAAGTTCACTGTTTAAAAGTAAGGGATTTAAGACCGAGATGAACAAAATGTTTCCTCACAGAGGGTCATGAGGCTTTGGAAATCTCATCCTTAAAAGGTGGTAAAAGTAGCGTCTTTGAATTTTTTTAATGGTTGAGTTAGATTCTTGGTAAGTATGAAAATAAAAGATGATCCGGGTTGGGCAGGAATGTGAAGAAATCAGATCAGCCATGATCTGATTGAATGATGGAGTTGGTTCAAGGAGCCATGTGGCCCTCTTCTGCTCCCAATTCGTATATTCAGATGTATAACAGAAGGAATAGAAAGAAGCAATGTATACATAATGACACAGTTCTAAAGATAGAGGGACTTGCTGAGTTATGGATATTAAATGGAGGAATGGGACTGACTGCATTGCTTTACAGACATCTGACATGGCATTGACAGGCCATGTGATCTCCTGTGGTGTAAAAACTCTATGACTTCATGTGAGGCCATTTCTTGTAATTTAATGGTGTGCAAATTAAATCCTTTCCTTACCAGTTAGTACGTGACTGAATTATCCTTTTAATTCAATCAATAGTTCATTTTATTATGCAGCAATCTGCAAATGTGTCATTTGTTTTAACACAATCAGTGAGTTATCTTGTTTACACTACAGTTTTTTCTAGGAGAAACAGTTTGAACCAGTCTCTTCAATATTTGACTTGTGCTCTGGGAGTCCCGTAGGCTGTTAACCATTCATTTTCAGTCCATTTTACAGCCCCTTAGTCAACAAATGTATTGGCACTAATTTAAGGTTTTTGTCTTTAACTATTACTGTTGTGTGTTAGTAGTGATTTGCCAATTCAGCATAGTGACAATTCTGAATTTGCTGTTTGTAGTGAATATTTTCAAAGAAAAGTAGAAGAAGATGAAGAGCAAAAGAAAAAAGATGCTGAAGTAGAGGAGGTTGTACCAGAGCCTGAACAATCTGTTTCAACCAACACTGTTCCTGTAGTAGACAAGAAAAAAAAACCTCTTAAAGGTCAGTCTAATTTTGAGAAGTATTTCCATAAACATGGTTGGCCTTGATATTAAAAATAGTTGATTGAATACTAAAAGTAAAAATGCATTCTGACCCCATAACTTGTATAATTGTATCAGAGATACTAGGAACTGCAGATGCTGGAAAATCTGAGATAACAAGGTGTAGAGCTGGATGAACACAGCAGACCAAGCAGCATCATAGGAGCAGGAAGGCTGACGTTTCGGGCCTAAAAGTGCAGCTATCATTCAGCCACTTCCCCATGGCAACCTTCTCTGAAAATGTTGAGACTGATAATACGTTATATTTTTATGTTTTACATTTGGACTTTCACATGATCAGTGATTTGTACAGGTATCAAACCTGTGAGAAAATAGTCCAGAAAAAAAAAGCAATAAAAGTACTCTGTAGAAGTGCAGGTGGCAGTTAGTTGGAGATTGAAAGGACAGGAATAAACTCATTTGGTTAAATAATAAAATGAGTATATAACAAAAATAATGAACAGTAGTTGTCACTACTGTTTCTCTTAACTGTTCAATTGATCTTTATCAAACAGAATTTCCAAAAGGTAGAACTTCAGAAGCCCATTTTTGAAAAGTTATGTATTCACTTGCTCTCCTACAATTTCAGATATCTTCACACATCTTGCATAGCATCTTTTCAATCTCTGAAAGAGATAGATAACCTTTGAAGGTCTTTAATGCAAAATTCGGCTAAACATTAATATGATTAATATGTTTTATACCCAAGGAAATGCAACACTTCTGAATATACGTAATTGATTTTGGCTTGCTATCATTTTTGGTGTATATGTGAGACAAAAATTTCAAAAATAAACGTCCTGATGACTTCCCATCATCTCCTTAGTTTTGGCATTGAAGGAGATATACAGCTACAGCCAGAAATGGATGGGAAACTCATTAACATATTTAAATGAGCTTCTTTGATTTGAATTTAATCTTGATGCCATTTTGATATCTAAATGTGCAGGACCTGTTCTGTGCAAGCTGTGCTTAATCACGTTGAACAGCATAGAATCCTGTAAGGGGGAAGCCACTTGACAAAGCCAAAAAAATGGATTTGTTGTGACATTTTTGAGGAAAATGAATGTTCTTGCCTGTAGCTCATCTAAAGACCTATCAGTCATTGGCTGTCCATCTGCCACTACCATTAATTATCCAGAATAAACTGAGCCAACTTGCCCTCTAGGTGGTCCACTGAATTTCTCATCTGTCACTCAGTTTGCCCCTCCAATCATTAGTGGTTCTATCAATGCTTTTTAGCACCTGCCGCATGATTCAAGCTATATAAAAAGAACATTTTTTTAGGAAAATGATTTTCCAAATGCTTTAATTTCGTTGTTCACACATTAAAATTTCAAGAATCAAATGAGTTAGGGAGAAATTTAGAATGTAAATGTCTGCAATGAAAAGTAAGATACATTACTCATAAAAATCATCATTGTCAATCATTCCAATGTGGAGAGGCAGGCAATTTCATATTTTTTAATTTAAAAAGTCATGATGCATAGAGTGATACTGGTAACCTCAGCACTTGAGTTGAGGCAGGTGAAAATAGGCTAATCTTGCTCCCAGTCAGTGTGCAAAATGTAAAAATGTTTGAGCATTTTGTGAGGAAGGAATTGGGTTCAGTTTTGATACTAAATAGCCTGCTGATGGTCACCATCAAGGCTTATACAAGAAGAATGGTTAATTAGGTGAAATATTGGAACATGGTTGGTGTTTGTGGAATATTCCAGGAAGGTCTCAATGTCTTCAAGTGTGGAGGTTGGAAGGTAATACCAAACTGTTTAGAATATTGTTCTTTTACCCCAGAAACACTACGACATCCAAGCTAGCGTCATTAAAATTATTTTCATATTATTCTTTAAATGATGATTGATCTGTACTGATTGAAAAACTTGAAATCAATGATGTTGTTCTTTAAATGGGTCAATTTAAAATGGCTCGGCTTCCTCTATCCAATATACCAAAGTGATGGATAGGAAAATGTCTATCTAGACTGTCCCACATAATCAAAATGCCCTTTGCATCATGATGCAGATAATCTAATACCACTAATTAACTGATAAAACAATTGGAAAAAAAAATTCTTCTATTCCAATGGATGATCAAAGATAGTCCTAAAGGTCATATTTATTGTATTTATATTACAGCCAAGAAAAGTATTGCTCCAGAGAAACCAATCAAACCCCGCGAGCCACCAGAAAAATGTTTTCCTGGTGCTGTGGCTATTGGTGTTGTATCATTGGCGGTGGCTAAGGCTGCAGTTAAACTTCAGAATACGTCTTTGTTTTTACATATTGCTGCCCTGAATCACGTAAGTGGAATATTAAATTATTATTCCTCATCAACTTCCAAGTTTATTCTGTTCATAATTATTGTAAAAAATACAAGCTGCAACTATGTGAAAACTTAACCAGCATCTTTTGAGCCATGCAACAGAATAGCCAAAGGTCCCATGTATGTAAATATCCCATTCTCAGAATTTAAAGGTTTAACATTTCACATCATACTTTAACAAATGTCAGTAACATGCTTTATAAATTTATTCATTGTAAAGTATTTGTGAAATTGTTTGGTATTCAATGTAAATGCGAGTTTAAAGGCAATGTTGCACAGACCTTTAAGATACTATTGAATTCTTGAATGGATAAGGATGAAATAAGTCAAGACCTTGTGGAGATTGATCCAAAATTATATGGAATATGAAAGTGAAGCAAACAGTAATGGTTTTCTACTTGATTTAATAAAACTGCAGGAGGCTGTAGATTATAAAGCATTGTAATAGGGAGCATGTATTAGCATTGTCATTAGCATATCATCTCCATGCATCTCACTTTCGACCACTGTAGTCGTAAGCTCAGTACAGCTGAAATGTAAAAATACTGGTTCAGAGATAGTAGGAACTGCAGATGCTGGAGAATCTGAGATAACAAGGTGTAGAGCTGGATGAACACAGCAGGCCAAGCAGCATCAGAGGAGCAGGAAAGCTGACATTTCATTTTTCTGAAGAAAGGTCTAGGCCCGAAACATCAGCTTTCCTGCTCCTC